TCCAAAAATCAAGTAGCTCACGAAAATCAGCTATTTCACCAGAAGCAGATAGTTCTCAAAGGAAAAAGAAATTTCTAGAAATAAGAAGACGTTTTGAAGCTTCTTCAACAAAAGATACAGATACAGATGAAGAGATTGATTTGGAAAAACCTTCTACCTCTTATTCAACAAAACAATCAAAACCAGTTGTTTCTCCTGGTAAGACAAAACATCAATTGGATGTTCCACAAGAAGCAAGTAGACTAAGGAAAAGATCATATGAATCCTCAAGTGAAGGCACGGATATCGATTTAGATGATATACCAATAGCAGTTAGCTCACCAAAATCAGATATTTCACCAAAAGGAGATGGTTCACAAAGGAAAAAAAAATTTTTAAAAATAGGAAAACGTTATGATTCTTCGTCAAAAAAAGATGAAGATAAAGATGAAAAAAAAGGAATATAAAAAGTAAAACAATATAGATCGTATAATTGTCTAGGAGACTTAAATGTCTTCTATGTTAATTATACACTTGAAACGTTAATGTATTATGGCATTTATATTATATACTATATATATTTCTATATAAATTATTGTTTTTATAAATGTATTGAATATTATCACTAATTAGATAAAAATATTTTTTATACATTTATAACAATTACATTATAATTTATAATAATAATGTAATAATTATAATATATTATTAAATAATAATATATTTTTATGAAATAATTAATGTACGAACTTCTTTTCTTTTTTTATTAAAATGAAGTCTTTTAATAAAAAGAACAAATTATAGAAACAACTTTAAAGGAGATATATATGATAGCTTAAATATATATAGAAATATAATATAAATGAAATAAAACTTAGCGAATTAAACATTTTATTGAATACAAAAAATTTGACCAACATCTTTCAATTTTTGAATGTTTAATTTTTCTTGTTAGTTTCGATTTTATATTCTTATAAAAATTCTTCATTGTAAAAAATACAAATATAACATGTGTGAACTAATTATACTATTTTGTATAACATTTAAATATGACTTTTTAAATTATTTTCTTTCCTGAGCTACAATCTTCTTTCTTAGAATCTATGTTAATGATTTAACATTTTAAATTATATATAAAATATTATTTTATATATTCATGAAGGGTTCATTCTGGTTTATCATTTTGAAAAAATCATTTCTTTTTTTGTTCATTTTTCGAAAGTAGACATATGTAGAATTATCATACAAACATTTTAGAACGATCCGAGCAGTCTAAGTATATTATTTTGCGACCCAAACACAGAGATATTACAGAGAGAGGAGACAAACCATAAACGGTTGTTTAAGTGGAAATGTGTCTGCATATTATTCAGAATGGTGTAGGAAAACAAAACTAGTATTCAGTTTTTTTCGCTATATTGTTTTTTTTTGGAAAGGAAAACTCTATGCAGAGACTAAAAGGAAAGTTTAGGAGGGCTACTTGGTATTGGTGTGCATGGTATAAATATGTTTTGCAATCTTATGGACCTCAGAAAAGGTTTAAGTATCTCTGCATATTATGGAATCGTTGACTCTATAGTAATCGCGGTCAATGCTGTTTTTAACGTAGTGTCGCATAAAGCCGTCACCGAAGAGCAACTCGAAAACAAGAAACGAGGAGAACCAGAGGATATTCTGTCTGTTTCTGGCGACGGCTCTTGTGCCAAAAGAGGATTCTCTTCGTTGATTGGAATAGTTTCTCTAATTTTAAAATATAGTGGAAAAAGTGTCGACGTTTCTATAAGGTCAACTTACTGTAAGGGATGTGAGATGTGGAAAAAAAAAAGTGAAGGAAGTAAACTATCTTGCCTGGTACGAACAGCATAAAACGCATTGTACGATAAACMATGAAGGTAGTGCCGGGAAGATGGAGGTTGATGGTATCGTGGAGATGTTTCTTCGATCACTCAAGAAGTTCTCCGTAAAATATGGTTTTTATATCGGCGATGGCGACACAAAAACTTTTCAAATGTTGCTAAATGTTTTTCCCTACGGCGAAGATTTTGTTATCAAAAAATTAGAGTGTGTTTTACATGTTGCCAAACGAGTTTTCAACCGTGCTAATGAAGCACGAAAAGCACTGATTCAAAAGAGAAAAGCTCTGAAACAAGCGGAAGCCAAGAAACCTGCTGCAAAAAAAGGACCGAAGAAAGTTGTAAAAAAGAAAAAAGTTATTAAAAAAAGTGTTCCAGTGATTAAAACTCAACGATTGACTATAAAGTTGATGAAGGAGTTGTCAACTAACTATGGGTTAGCTGTTCAAAGAAATAAAAATTCAATTGAGAACATGAGAAA